AAATAATGGATGACATTGACCAATGGTATGTAGAACTCAACCTTGTTGCTTCACGAGTTTTCCTGATCATTTGTAATATTAGATTATCTGTTGTCCCTGCTTTTCCAGGTCTGAGACGCTTCCCTCATGGATGACAATTCAAGCAATGGACAGGTGATGACTCAAAGGCATTAATGAAAGTGAGCAGCTGCCATCATATATAACAACTAGAGATGTCCATGAGTCCAACTCTCAACAAGTACTTGCAGGTAAGATCTGTGGGAAAACTCGCAAGTATGTGACTCGCGGATCCCAAGACCCATTTCCCACGGGTCACCAACAGGTCACAGTCAAGGTTTCCGAGACTTTGCAAGTACTTGCAAGTATTTGTGACTTGTGCAAGGCATAGTATACATGTATTTTCAGTGCAACTTGAGTAATAATTACAACTTACATTGGTCAATAATATCATACTTACTACTATATAAGTTGTTGAGTGCTGGCACACAGATATTAGGTTGTAGACAGCTCACGGCGTTTAGGCGCCAATTTAAGCGCCTAAACGCCGTGAGCTGTCTACAACTCAAAACTTAGATGTGAGTACATATTTACTTCATAACATAGTATGAAATTGTTGTAAACAAGTTAAGTCCATGATTTTGTTAGCATCATATACTGTACAATCAATTTATGCAAGTAAGTAATGGTAAATACTTCTGTAACACTTGTTTATTAGATGAATCACAAGTACCTGCAAGACTTGCAAGTAATACTTGCGAGTCAGTGACCCGTTTCCCATGAGTCAGCCACGGGCTACAAGTCAGGCCTTTTAGGCCACAAGTACTTGCGCTCCGGATCCAAGTATACTTGGATCCGGACTTGTGGACATCTCTAATGGTAAATAGAGGGAGCAGATGTGTATATGGTAATGTCAAAGCGATAGTAAGCAGAACAAAGAAGGGAATGGTACCAGAGTATATCCAACAAAGTTAAATGATGTATGTACACACAAGTATCCAGACACCGTTGGTAAAGTGGTTATCAATGATCACGCATCAAAACAAATCATCGGGTGTAAATTGGGTGAGCAAGTGGGTTGGGTTCAATTCCTGAACGGTGTATTGATGAAATGGCCCAGTCATGTCTCTTGTGTAGTTTTTTGCATATCTTTCTTGATATCTTTGTGAGTTTTGAGCCCAATAGATATCACTATAAAGAAATGGTATGGTGGTATGGGTGCTATCTTGGCTTGATATTTCTGGGTAAACACAACTATCCATAGTACATACACCGTTGGTGAAGTGGTTATCATGCTTGCCTTCCATTCATGGTGTGACAGGTTGTGAGTGGGTTCTGTTGGAGTGAATAGAGCAAGTCCATTGAATAAGCTCAACGTTCACTCCAATCTATAACAAGTAAGCCCTAGCAAACGCGCAGGGGAAATTTGTATTAGAAGCTACCTTAAATAACCTACAGCTACGGAGAATATGCGGATAAATATAAGATAAAACAAAAGGTAAACTAATAAGCTCCACTCCGGTGTGCACTCCAGGGGGAGAATAAACATCCAACACCACTGGATAAACCGTCGGCGAGCAGTACCAATTGCTCAGCTGACTCAATATCTCCAACAGGTTCAATTCCCGAATGGTGCATTTTTGATTAGAGATGTCCACAAGTCCAGGTCAAGTACTTGCAGCCTATAAGGCTTGACTTGTGACCTGTGGCTGACTTGTGGGAAACGGGTCATTGACTTGCAAGTATTATCCACAAGTACTTGTGGATCTGTCTATTAAACAAGTAATTAGAGCTATAGTCACAAGTATTTACCATTATTTACTTGCATACATTGCTTGTACAGTGTATAGTGCTATCAAAAACCTGTACTTTACTTGCTACACTAATTTCATACTGTGTTATGAAGTAAAAATGTACTGACAATTAAGTTTTGGATTGTAGACAGCTCACAGCGATTGGGCGCTAAAATTGTGAGCTGTCCACAACCTCAAACATGTGTGGCAGTACTTGTTAAGTACTATAATAAATATGATACTGTTAATTACTGTAAGATTTGATCACCAATAAATAAATATATGAGTTCACAAGTCAGGCAAGTACTTGCAAGTCAACCAAAATTTCCCAAAGCCTGACTTGTGACCCGTGGCTGACCCATGGGAAACAGATCTTGGGATCCACGAGTCAGACACTTGTGAGTTTTCCCATGGATCTTACCTGCGAGTACCTGTGAAGACTTGGACTCGTGGACATCTCTATTTTTGATAGTGTCAGTGGCCTAGTTTTTTGCTTCAAATATTATCATGATGGTGCCATAGGCAGTTCAGTCACCCACATATTTGGTCTTATTAGTCTACACTTTTGTTACATTGACCTTACTAAAAAGACCCAAAAACCTAGGCAAAACCCAGGCAGCTAGGTCATGACCTTGGGATTTAGGTCATGACCTGGGAATTAGGTCATGACCTAAAAAATTGGTCATGAACTAGGTCAGGTTGGTCTTTTCCAGGGGTTGGGTAGGTCATGGCCTGGGGTGAGATAGAATATGGCCTAGGTGGGGCAGGGCATGGTCTAGGTGAGGGAGGGGATGGTCTAGGTGAGGGAGGGGATGGTCTAGGTGAGGGAGGGGATGGTCTAGGTGAGGGAGGGGATGGTCTAGGAGGAGGAGGGTATAGTCTAGGAGGAGGATATGGTCTAGGAGGGGGAGATATAGTTAGTTTAAGAGGTGTAGAGTGAGAGTGGAGGATGGTGAGATAGAGAATATAAGCAAGAATGAAATATCATAGAATCATGACTTGAAATGTTTAGTAACATATTGGGATTATTGGGATTTTTTACATATCTGTAGATTATGACAAGATCAAGTTAAGTCACAGTGCCATGTTCTGGGTTGTCAGGCAAGCATGTGACTTACCTGACCTAGCTGATTCAGGTCATGAAAGGATCACCCTTATCCATGCCAATCTGCATGTTATATCAAGCAATCTTTAGACTCAATGCTTTTCATTGATTTCCTTTTATGGACATACAGCTTTGGCCTCATCCACTACAATCAAAGGTTATCCAAAAAATATTTTGCAATCCAGCCCCTTCCACCACAGGATTGGCTTCATTTTAGGTGAGCAACCTATTCTGTGTATAAACAAAAGGTCTGGATGTCTACCACAAGCTATTGTCCTTAGGAAAAGAGTGTACACAGTTTGTGTGTTCAGTCTTGTCATTTCTTAATTAGGTAGTGAAAACAGCTTTGACCTCATCCACTGCAAAAGATTTGTCATTTTTCAAATAAGTAATGAAATCAGCTTTGACCTCATCCACTGCAAATTTCTCACTTTCAATTAGGCAATGAAAACAGCTTTGGCCTCATCCACTGCAAAAGTTTTGAAACTGCCTAATTAAGAAATAAAAGTCTATTGAAATAAAATTGCCTAATATAGTAATTTATAAAAATTTCCAAATGTATCTAACTCTATTAAAAAAAACATAAAACCAGTTAAGGTGTGTGAAAATTGCCTTATTTGGTAATAAAAACAGCTTTGACCTCATCCACTGCAAAAATTGAAAAAATTTACTAATTTAGTAATGACCTAGGCCAGGTAGGTCATGACCTAGTCCACCCAGGTCATGACCTAGTTCACCCAGGTCAAAAGTAGGTCATGACCTAGTTCACCCAGGTCATGACCTAGAAAAGTAGGTCATGACCTGAATCAGCTAGGTCAGGTAAGTCACATGCTTGCCTGACAACCCAGAACATGGCACTGTGACTTAGCTTGATCTTGTCATAATCTACAGATATGTAAAAAATCCCAATAATCCCAATATGTTACTAAACATTTCAAGTCATGATTCTATGATATTTCATTCTTGCTTATATTCTCTATCTCACCATCCTCCACTCTCACCCTACACCTCTTAAACTAACTATATCTCCCCCTCCTAGACCATATTCTCCTCCTAGACTATACCCTCCTCCTCCTAGACCATCCCCTCCCTCACCTAGACCATCCCCTCCCTCACCTAGACCATCCCCTCCCTCACCTAGACCATGCCCTGCCCCACCTAGGCCATATCCTATCTCACCCCAGGCCATGACCTACCAACCCCAGGAAAAGACCAACCTGACCTAGTTCATGACCAATTTTTTAGGTCATGACCTAAGGCTCTGTTCAGTAGCAAGATCACCCTGAACTTGAATGTGAACCTCAAGTTTCATATTTCCATATACAATATTTGAAATCATATGAGTGACAATCCGGACCTCAGTTGCCGGTCACCTTACCACTGTGCGCTAACGCGTGCAATCGATAAGAAAGCCACTGCTAGCATACCACTGCGCTGCCCACCGGATTTTGGGCTTTGTGGATGCCCGTTGACGCGTTTTCTGACCGTTCGATGATGTATGTTGACTGCCAGCAACTCCCTCTTCCGTTTTATAAGCCATGAGGAAAGAAAAAGAGCACACATGCGGGGCTCTGTGCGTCTGGTCACAATTATTACATCTAGTTACAAGACATAGCATCACATCAAAATCACATCAGGCGAGGTTTCAACTTTACTTAATATAGGAATTTGAAACTTGAAGTTCACATTGAGTTCAGGGTGAACTTGCTACTGAACAGAGCCTAATTCCCAGGTCATGACCTAGCTGCCTGGGTTTTGCCTAGGTTCCTGGGTCTTTTTAGTAAGGTCAATGTAACAAAAGTGTAGACTAATAAGACCAAATATGCGGTTGCCTGAAGTGCCATAGGATCTGGTTATGGACTACTTTTTATATTCTAGCTCCCACTGTCGCAGCTTGCTCGGAACCTACAATTTACAAAGATACGACCCCGGGCCTAACACCGATTCCAGGGGATCTCGAATCCCAAATCCACCAGGTTTTAGATCTTAGACTTTGTCCTCTCGTCTGTTGCTAGCATTTTGCACTGTTGAGGTGTCCCATGAAGAAATGATATGGGCGCTTTTTTGGCTTGATATTCAAATACGATGTAAACTGAACTATCCATACACTGTTGGTGAAGTGATTATCATGCTTGCCTTCCGTATGTGGTTCTTGGCGTAGACTTGAGAGCAAGCGGCTCGGGTTCGATTCCCGAACGGCGTATGACAAAGAAGTACCAGATTTCTTACTCTTTCATTCATGTATTTACAGTTTACAAGTTGATATTCATCTCTATCCTAGAAGACTTTTGAGTCGTGCCCAGGTAGATGTCATTGATTTCGCTACCTCAGATTTTCTGTGTACATTGAACCAATATCACCGCAGGATGCAGAGGAGATGATGTTTTTTTACATCGGGAATGGCAAATCTTAAGCAAATCCAATGACGGTGAAGAAGACAAGTATGTTTAATTAATATCAACTCACCTCTCCCTCCTCGCGCACCTTGTTCAAATTGACTCTGCTGCTGATTTGACCCACCCCCAATGCTCTGGAGATGTGGACAACATCAGCTACCATGGAACAGCGTGGAGTCCGTGTGAAGCAGCCCAGCGCCAGCTTTGGCTCTAAATATCGTGTCGATTACACAGCGATTACAAGCCATTGATAACCATTGGCAGCCCAGGGCTCTGCTGAATAATACCAGTAACCAAATCATAGAATAGTTTCTACTTCAAACATAAGTACTCCTACTCAGATCTTAAACACCGTTGGTGAAGTGGTTATCATGCTTGCCTTCCATAGCTTGATGCTTTAAGTAAGTGGCTCGGGTTCGATTCCCGAACGGTTTATGCAACATAGCTCCCAAAGCTCCTCGTACTTTTTCTTACATGGTGCTCAGATCCGGTTACCGGGCACTTTCTTATTCCATGGAATAAATTCTAGAATATCCCAGTTGAGTACTCTCATCATGAATGTGGAAGTATAATGCTTCAAGACGACCGTCAGGAAAGACACAGTTCAAAAGTACGATATGATTGAACCCCACGTTTTTATGCAGTTGTGTTCGTGTCTGCGGCGGAGGCAGAGCTAGGAATGCTTTGCTTGGTGTCGAGGGCTGTTTCTCTACCCCTCCTCCTACTCCTCGTCCCGCTGCATACATACTCTTTCACCAGCCTCAACCCCACCGCAAGCTGCGTATCTCGTTACCATTTTTGACTTATCATACGGCTCGTTTTTTATCGTACGGCTCGTTTTTTTCTTGTGCATTCCGTTTCATGAATTCCACTCTCAATTCTCAGTCCTTCAACAACATCCGCGCATCGAACGATCTGAGAGAATACACACACAACTTTATCAAGTTTTCTGAAAGGGTGTTTCATGCTACACTTCCATGTGGGAGTTGCGCAGTTATGTATCCTCTTCAATTCCTCCTACTTAGAATGCGGACCCAGCGTGTACGTGTATTGGGTACCAAACCAAAATCAAAACTAAAGTCAAGACATTATCAATGTCTTGAGCTGGGAGACTTCGAGAGGATGAAAATGTTCGTTGGAATGATTCGACGGAAACTTGACGTAGGAAATGCAGTAAACATGGAATCAAAGAGTTCGCAGAACACATGCATTAAACCACGTAGTCCGCCGCGCCACAGAAAATACCCATGACATCTATCAAACGAGAGGGAATTATGAGGGCCAGCTGTTGTGCAAGGCGCGCAGTAATGCAATCGAACGAAAGAAAGGAGGATTGTCAGAGAGGAGAGCCGAACGGTGAAAGGAAATGACGACCGATAAAGCCAAACGAGGGCTCGTTGGTTGTACTTTTCGACCATTGTTTTTGGAATATCGGCGAGAACTGGTCTTGTAGCTATGATACCAGCGAGGAGCGAGGTGATCAGACCGGAGAATGGAAATAATACTTAATGCAAGAACTAGGTATATTTTATTTTAATCATCTGTATACTCGAATTTGCGAGAATCGAGTGTAAATGTGACAGGGCCCTAGAGGTATACTACGTCATCCCAGTCCAAATCATGGCCAGATTCCGTACCTCATTGGTGAGACTAACGTTCATCATCGCGCCAAATTTACCATCTGATAATAGGACCGATGAGTCTTGTTCATATCATTCGGAAACATCAGAATAAAAGACTAACCTTGCACTTTGTCCTCTTTGTAAGCCTGGCGTAGTTTTTCCAAAAACGCTGCATACATGTCTCGAGATGATTCGGCGGACTGAGTGGTGGGACGAAAGAAGAAAGAAGATAGTAGTTGATTAGCGTGTTTATTTGGGAGACAAACTGACCATGGCTCGATGAAAGTCAGGCTTGTTGCCTTTGGTTGTGTTTGCTAGAAGAGTGAACTGTGATACACACAAAATCTCTCCGTCGATGTCCTTGACGCTGGCTTTCCACATCTTTTGGGGATCCACGGGATCGTTGAACACGCGTAAATTTAATCTTGTGCATTGTTTTTCGTGACTATATTCTTTAGCTCTGATTGAAAGTATGCTCACCTAACGAGTAACAGAGAGTGGAAAGAAGGGAGACCGATCCATGGACTGCTGGAAGAAAAGGGATGGCTTACATTTTATTGATCAAGGCAGAAGCATCGGAGCTCGTGTCGTCTGTAGTAATGTCGGGGGCTGATAAGGGAATAGAAGGTGTTTGAAGACGCGTACAAGTTACCTGTCCCGATCCCGACGAGCACCATCAGTCCTCGAGAGATTGAGGAAATAACATCGTTATCCACTGGGCCGCTCAGAGTATTTGGTTAAACTGTATCAACGAGAGCTCGATTGGACGCGTTACCTGTTACTGAAGCTGAAGTAACACGTTGGATTATCGCGCGCATGATGGAAGAAAGAAGAAACGAGCGCCCGGGCGCTTAACCCTCTTTCTTCTTCAACTTTGTCCATTGTCCTCATGTCAGAATCAGTCGTTCTAGAAACTAGCTTGGGAGATATTCAACTTGAACTATACTGGAACCATGCGCCCAAGGTATGTACTCTTTTTCGTATGAACGTTCTCGTGTTTATCTGTAGACATGTAAAAACTTTGCAGAATTATCCAAACGAGGATATTACAGCGGCGTTGTCTTTCACCGTATAATAGCTGTGAATAAAGCTCTACTTCCGTGTCGGTAATTGGAGATGGACTCAAGTGGAAAATATTTTAGGATTTCATGATCCAAGGAGGTGATCCTACGGGCACTGGACGTGGCGGTACCAGTATATATGGGCAAAAATTGTACGTCTATTGATCTTTCTGAACTTCTCGTGTCACTGACGCGTTGAAAATCGTCTAGTGAAGATGAAATACATCCGGAACTACGATTCACTGGAGCGGGTATATTAGCAATGGCTAATTCTGGTCCAAACACCAATGGTTCTATCCCTTTTGTCCCCAGCTCCTACCTCGATCTGATTTTCGTGGATGCCAGGTTCACAATTCTTTATTACCCTCGGGCCTACGCCATATCTGGACAATAAGCACACAATTTTCGGCAGAGTGAGTTCGGGGATGCGAGTCGTACAGCGTTTAGGTGCGGTGGCAGTGGACTCTCAGGACAAGTACGTTGTTGTGCCGTTGGTGCTTTATAAATGTATTAAAATTATCCTTAGGCCACGGGAAGATGTCAAAATACACAAATCAAGAGTTATTTAGTATCGATCCGGGGAGGCTTTCATACCGCTATATCCAGTACTGGCGGAACTACATTCCGAGTTGCTTGCAGTATCTTGTTGTACATGAATGAAATCGTAGATCTGTCGTGCGCTCAACGAATTTATAAGGGGCTCCTTATGTGAGCTCTTTTGCTGGTCGGGCCAAAACTCGCGCACCGCGCCTATACTAGGGAACATGGCTAGCGAAACGATTTTTTCCGGGTGTAGTATTCTACGGAAATTATTACTGTGGTCGAACGTAACCGGAACAAGCCTGATAAGTATCAAGTTTCCGATACGATAGTAGACTCGGCTCCGGTGAACGACTCGAATTTGACAAATGGTGTCTGGACCCGATCGTTGCGGCTCCGTCATTGACCGTGAACGACTCAAGACCGACTAGAAATATCGCCGCCTTTCTCCAGGCATTGCGACCTGCGACCCTGCTACCTGCTTAACAAGTCTTCAAAAGGATATCATCATCATGGTGTACGTAGTGTCTGTTTTTTTTTTGCTGTTTACTTGCTAGACTCCTATATTCATGCAGTAATTTCACCGTTGATCAAATCCGTGGCCTCATGAACAAGGCAACGAACATTCGCAACATGAGCGTTATTGCCCATGGTAATTACTCGAACGTTTTCCATCATATCGTTTGATTATATGCCTTTTTTCTTCCAGTCGACCACGGAAAAACCACGCTCACAGACTCTTTGGTTGCCAAGGCCGGTATTATTGCTACACCAGGCAAGTCCTTCATGGATCACAGACCCGACGAAAAGGAGCGTGGTATCACTATCAAGTCTTCCGCCATTTCCATGTTCTTCGAGGTAGATAAGGATGACGTAGCCTCTATCAAACAGAAAACCGATGGTGCGTAGTTTTTCTTGCTTGACTGTTCCAGCTGCCGACAATTAGGTTCAAGGTAACGAATTTTTGATAAACTTGATCGACTCCCCAGGACACGTCGATTTCTCCTCAGAAGTCACTGCTGCCCTCCGTGTCACCGACGGTGCTCTCGTTGTTGTTGACTGTGTCGAAGGCGTCTGCGTGCAGACAGAAACTGTTCTCCGCCAGGCTTTGGCCGAACGTATCAAACCCGTTGTCATCATTAACAAGGTCGATCGTGCTCTTCTCGAACTCCAGGTCGACAAGGAGTCTCTTTACCAGTCATTCCAACGTACCATCGAGAGTGTCAACGTCATTATATCTACATATCACGACGAGGCTCTCGGGATATCCAAGTTTACCCTAGCCAAGGTACTGTTGCCTTCGGTGCCGGTCTCCATGGCTGGGCCTTCACTCTTCGCCAATTTGCCTCCGATACGCGAAGAAATTTGGTGTGGACAAGGAGAAGATGATGGGAAAGCTGTGGGGCGATAACTATTTCAACCCTCAAACGAAGAAATGGGGTACCAAGGACGAGGATGCAGATGGGAAGCCTCTCGAGCGCGCATTCAACTTGTTTGTTCTCGACCCCATTTTCAAAATCTTCGACTCGGTGATGAAGTCGAAAAAGGATGCCATTGGCCCCTTGCTCGAAAAGCTAGATATCAAGCTCGCCCAGGATGAGCGTGATCTCGAAGGAAAAGATCTTCTCAAAGTAGTCATGCGTAAATTCCTCCCCGCTGGCGACTCCATGCTCGAAATGATCGTCTTCAATCTTCCTTCCCCGCCACAGCTCAACGTTATCGCGTCGAAACCCTCTATGAAGGTCCCATGGACGACGAGTCCGCTATCGGTATCCGCGACTGCGACGCTAAAGGCCCCCTTGTTGTCTACATCTCCAAAATGGTGCCTACGACCGACAAGGGGCGTTTCTACGCCTTTGGCCGTGTCTTCTCCGGGACCGTCCGCTCTGGTCCTAAGATCCGTATACAAGGTCCAAACTATGTTCCAGGAAGAAAGGAAGATCTCTTCATTAGCGGTGTCCAACGAACGGTGCTGATGATGGGTCATGCTGTCGAGCCTATCGAGGACTGTCCCGCGGGTAACATCGTCGGTCTCGTTGGTATTGATCAATTCTTGTTGAAGAGCGGTACCCTCACTTCCTCTGAAACCACACACAACATGAAAGTTATGCGATTTTCCGTATCCCCCGTAGTACACGTCGCTGTCGAAGCCAAAAACCCCGCTGATCTTCCCAAGCTCGTCGAAGGTCTAAAACGACTATCCAAATCCGAT